CTGGAGAAAGTCTACGATAAGGCAGACGAAAAGGTCTATCATCTATCAAACGAATTCGATGACAGAACCCCTTTGCTTCGCCACAATCCAACGAGTGCCTAGAGAAAACACTCTCATATTTCTTTATCAAATCAACCAACTTGTCTCTCCAGAAAGGCGACACCTCACAGTCGTTCACATTCAAGTCTTTGAGACCCAAGCCATCCAAATGAAAATCATTCACCTGCCTGACACCAGACACAGAACTCTTTGCTGATAAACTACCACAAGAACTGCCACTGTGGATGGCCACATTCTGGAAGATCCTTTTCTCTGCCGCGTGATCAAAATCTTCTAAAGCGATGCATGGGTAGACGTCAGCCAATTTTGCATTTCTGCGCAGCACAATTTCAGAATTTGTCGGGTTTATCATTTTCACCGGGAGCCAACCGTCGCCCCACAAAGGCGAGATCACTCTACCAACAAGGACATTACGGTGAACGCAACGAGACTTACTCGGCTCAATCACTACTGTGCTGCCAACTGAAAGTTTCAATCCTGGTGGCAGCCGACCCCAAACAAGGTGTTCACTCATAGGCTGCAGTACCACAGCAGACTTGGATTTTAGAGTGCCCACCATGTCAGGGATCACATTACCCCTCCACCTTTCAATGCTTGACAGCATACGCAGAAACTGACAATCCTCACTTGGATTAGATTGGTCAGGTTTATCCAAAACTCTCCAGAACCCCTCATTCGACTTCATTTCTCTAATTAGTGGTTTCAACACATTGGTTCCAATAATAAGCTGGTCTACCTGTCCACTGACAATAAGGACTGGGACACTAAAACTGAACCCATACACCTCCATTTTCAGATCACACATACCTTCAGGACAAGTCTGCTTCCCACCACACCCAACCAGGACAATGTCCGATGGGGAAGATATCTCCTGATCCAGGACTCCAGCTTCTAACAGTTGAGGTACCATGTCAGCACTCAATGTAGTCGCCATAGAGCCACTGTCCAGCATCCCCCTCAACCGAACCTTGTCCTGTACTAAAACACTTGTGTAAAACAGACTGTCATTTTGTGTAGAACGAATGGTATTTTGAAAAATCACAGTTTTGTCTTCGCTTACATTCTCACAAAAAAATGAATAGACAGACTCGACATCAGTATTGCAGGAGGAACTCTCATTTTGCCCCACATTGCCCTCCCCCCAATGTAGGCGTTCTAGTTTCCCTGCGGCGCATCATCTCCACGTCTGCCAGTACTTTCCCTGGGCCCAGTCATCTCACAATTGAAACTCCTGTGCCCAGACAAAAAACACTTAAAGCAGAGATTGTACATTTTGCAATGCGCAGTAGTGCTGTGATCTTTGCTGCTACATACTCTACATTCACGACCCTGTTTGTTAGGATTCTTGGACCAACCACCACGCACAGATTGGGCGTTGCACACAAGAGCCTTTTCCAACATGGTCAATACCTTGTCTAGAGTGTTGTCAGTTACTGGTGTGGCAGTTTCTGACTGAGAAGACGACACAGCAGATGATTCAATTTTAGACTCAAATACTGTGGCTGTTTGTTGACAAGTAACTCGCTTAGTGGCTTTCTGTTCCCTTAGCATCTCATCTAATCGCTCTTGGACCTCAGGCGCGGTCCATGACTGTGCAGATTTGCTTTTGAAAACCAAAGAGAGTTCCTTATCAGGACAGTGTCGAATAAACATAACAGCCAGTTCTTTGCTCCGATTTTCCAAGGTTCTTCCCTCTTCCCTAAGGCTCCGCTCAGCCACCTCAGCTGCTTTGTTTAACCTTATCCAATAGTCCAAAGGGCTTTCATTGGAATAAGGTTTCACAGAGTAAAAATCAGCCAAAGGCATCCCTGAGCTACTGGAATCACTGAAATGATGTCTCAAGACTGAGAAAACTGCGTCTACAGTCGGGGTTACCAGTCTATTACTCAGCCAGACTTTTATGATATCCCTGGCCCTCCCCATTAGTCTGTTCATCACTTCGTCAACTCTGTCAGAATCTGCCACTTCCTTTTTGTTAAGATACACACGCATCAATTCTTCCCACTCCATCATGGAGCACTTATCTGTACCATCTCCACGATAATACGGTGGTGAGGAGACTTCAGACTTCAGTACCAAATTTAACTTGGAAGCATCTATAATGGTTGCATTCGATACCTTTGCGTCAGAAATGTTAGTGGCATCTGCAAAACAACCACTAGATGGCAAACTCGAACGTCCAGTCTGCAACAGAGTGTCTCTGATGGCTTCGCCAATTTCAGAACCAATTTGTCTAACGAGGTCACTCATGTCATTTGTAAGTCCTGATTCAACATTAGTATACTTTGGTTGACCCGGTTTTGCGATGGGACTATAGTACATGTCTGGCCTAGTATCACCCGAAGGTCTAACTGCTTTACCCCTTCCAGTACTTGTATACTCAGGACCCATAAGCTGGAAATCTCTGTCAGGTGTGCCCAGTAATACACCTCTTCCTCTACCAGCCATCATTACACTGACTTTTTTTTTTTTTTTTTTTTGAGAAAAATAACTGAATTCGAAAAATTAATGAGATTAAATGTCTATCACTTTATCTCTGAAATAATTTTCTCTTAAAAAAAACATGTGAAAAACAAAACAAAAGAGATTTTTTTTTTTTTAAATAAAAATGAACCAATGTCAGTCTAGTCACGAAGTAAATACCCCAACCATGCAGAACATCCACGACGATGATAACAGTTCCAGGATACGATGTAGACTATACAGGACAACGACGACAGTCCCAGCAGAAGATGCAGATTATTCAGGACGACGACGACAGTCCCAGTAGAAGATGCACAGATTATTCATGACGACGACGGTGGTCCCAGCAAAAGATGCACAGACTATTCAGGAAGACGAAGGAGACGACAGTCCCAGCAAAAGATGCACGCTTACAGCATCCCAGGTGGTCAGCAATCAGCGAACCAAACGATAGGTCACGGCACCAATTTGTAGTGGGTTTTCTTCTGCGTTGTGTTTGATTTTTAAAGAAAGAGATCCCACACAGTGATGTACTTTAGTTTTTCTTTACTCTCAGCCTTGCTGTGTCTGTGTCAAAAGAAATAACAGACACGATCACAGTCAAGCACATTTTGGACATTTCCGGTCTAGCCGTGCCTCTCGCCACAACATCCAGCGAAAGAGAGAGCTTAACAATCATAGAAATAAATGAAGTAATAAAAAGAAAGAAAAATAAGAAATATAGAAAACTGACAAAAGTAAATGATCCATTTACATACCTGTGTCAAAAGAAATAACAGACACGATCACAGTCAAGCACATTTTGGACATTTCCGGTCTAGCTGTGCCTGTCAATCAACACACTACAATGTAAATTCATATACAGAAAATACATTTGAACATCGCATGGATCCTTCAAAATAAACAAATATAACTTTACACAATTACGAATATATAACTCAAATTAAATTCAACTGTACAGGTTAACAAAAAAATATATTGTTCTAAACTCACAAGCATACCGTACGTGTAACTGCGGTCATTAATCGAATATACTTCGATCAAACATACTCTTATCACATTTATAACCCATCTTGTTGATTGCTCAGTACAGAAAAGACAACGATTAAACTCATTACCTACAGAAAATCCTTATACAACACTCAATAAGACATATTTATACACTTCTCCGGGGAGCAGATAAAAACGTACCTCTCGCCACAACATCCAGCGAAAGAGAGAGCGCGCACGCAAATTGCATCAGCATTACCCTCATGCATGACGCAGCTTACGTAATAGTGCTTCCTTAATTTAGTGTAAAAATATTAATCAAGAGTGAAACCAAAAGTAATACAAAAAAAATAACAATATACATGTATGAAGAATTGAAAACAACGCAAATTATTAAATTTATGAACACCTAACCATTAACAACTGTGAAGTTTCCAAAACAAAGGTTTTCAAAATAAGAGTCCCGTAAAATAATACTGTTCTTGATTAAATTATGTCAATAATCTAGTGTAACAACATTCACTCGTCACACAGGCCTAGTGAGTACTGTGGTACAACACAAAAGAACAACTTGCAGACTGTCTTACCAAGAAGGGGGCATCAGCTTGTCAGTTACTCAAGGCACTGAGTGAAGGACAATGTAAACTGAATTAAAACAAAGTCTATCTTTGAATTGTACTCAAGATCTTGTTGAAATTTACTAGTTCATATTTTTGTTCAAGCAGGATGTTGTTCAGTATGTCCTGTTAGTATGTTGACTTGAAAATTTATGTTTTAAATTTATGAAAAACTTTGTTCTCAAATGTTTGCTTGAATGTTGAGCGATTCAGAGCGAAAAAAAAATGGGAACACCTTAAAATGTCTCAAACCAAACCTATATACCAATTTGATCGCAAAACAGCAGGTGACGTCATTAAGCACAGGTTTTTATTCGCTTTAAAGCTGTTGGATGGAAACACACTTTCACCAGTTTTTGCATGTTTTTTTTTTTTTTTTTTAACCGAACTTCAGATAATTCGATTGACAAGTGTATGGGAACTTGGCTTCTGACATGAAAATAAAATCCATTGCAAAGGTAAAAATGAAATTTCCAATTCCTGAGAGCCTTCTTTTCATGATATCTGTTTGAAATAAACCACTTTCTTATAAAACAGAATATAGATTATTACCCTGTAATAACAAGCTTATTATGTTGAACCTGAACCTCAAACAGGTCTATTCTGATACTGAATAATAAGTCATTCAGTCACTCAGCAAGATCCCTGAATTATTTTAAGATGTAGGCTATATGAAGTACAGTATATGGAAACATTCAGTTTGATTTTCTTTCTCCGTCGTTTTCTTAGGATCCTTTTAAATTCGCTCCCTATACTTGTCTGGTCCCCTCTTTTGCACTCATCTCTCCCTCAGTTTTTTTTTTTTTTTTCTAAAAAAAAGTTAAATAGCATTATAAGTAGTAGCACTGTATTTATAAACTTTATATTTGTTTATAGTTGTTATATTATACATTATAGTTATTTTAGTAACACTCCAAAAAAATGGCAATAAACATTAAAATTTAAGTCATTATTGAATTTAAGATCATCAAAACTGGTCAAAAAAAGAATGAAAAGAATGTTAACAAACTTTATCTATTTGTTTTAATAGCTTCTTAAGGAGGTCTTGTCCTATTGTGTGACACAGGTCAAAGTGTCACACCGAAGGACATTTCATGTCACACCATAGGACATTTGAGCTTTTTGTGGCATGTTAATAACTGTGGTAATGCTTGCTGAACTGTCATTAGCAATTGGCATGATACATTTGCATAATATTACATAGTCCTGCTGTTAAAAATACAAATTTAAATAAAAAAATTAGATTTAGGGGCGTTACACCAAAGGACAAAAAAAAAAACGTAACAACTTCAGTGGTCTGAAAACATAGTTAAATATTTGAGCAATTCTGAGAGAAATAATTACTATGTGCACTGCTCATGGGCTTCATAGGGGTCTTCAGTCACATGACCTTGAATGGGGTCTTTCTACTAAATGTAGTTGTCCATGATATTGCCCAACAAAATATCAGGTTATTGCGTAAGTAACACCAAAGGACATTTTTTTTCTGTGACAAACTTTATGCAATTCCCATACATTTAGAAATGTATGTATAGGAAAATGATTGGCCACTTAGTGAAATAGACAATTATGCCAGGAGTGCCCATTAAGATTTTTAAACATTATTTTCTTTATTTATTAAAGGTAATATTTATGAAAAAAATTTGTCTCCCGTCACACCATAGGACGATTTTGAGATTTGGCTCAAAGTTGTAAAAAAATAAAAAGTAACTCTGGTATTAAAACAATAAATTCATGTAAAACAAGAAAATGCTTAACCATTTACAGTATTCTAAATGATGAAAATGTGAAATAAATTATTTTTTATCTTCTGTGACGGTGAAAAAGCCACGTCACGTCAACTGGGTAGTTATTATTATATTATTATATTATATTATTATTACATTATATTTATATATTCGCATTGTGCCGCGTGATTTCAATCCCCAAAAAAGTCTTTGATATCTTAATGCATCACATCCAAGCAGCTAAAACAAGTTGTTTGAAATATGGATTATGATTTAATAGACTATTGTTGCCACTTGTACACAAACGCCTTGTGTGCATAGTTAATGAAAATAACTGAGCTCCACAAAGAAACAAAACACATCCCTTCCTAAATCATATCCCTTCACAAATTATTTTATGGCAACACCAGTTTTCTAAACTATTGTTTTGACCTTCCTGAAAGGTTCCCCTTGTCAAACAATCAAACTTAACAACTAATTTTAGCAAATTATCCAGCTTTTGATTAATCTGAATGTCAAATTATTTACTTGCATGTGATGGAACTGATCATAAACATTTGCTCATTAGACAAATTCAGGCAACGCTTTTTCATATGAGTCCGCATATTAGATAAATTGGTGAAACTCTTCCCACATGAAGAGCACTGGTGCGGCTTCTCTCCAGTATGAACTCTCTCATGATCTTTCAGGTTTCCCGACTGAGCGAAACTCTTTCCACAGTGTGAGCACTCATACGGTTTCTCTCCAGTATGAACTCTCTCATGAATTTTCAACGATTCTGACCGACGGAAACTCTTTCCACAGTGTGAGCACTCATAAAATTTCGCTCCAGTATGAATTCTCTGGTGTTGTTTTATTGCGCCAGATGTAGCGAAGCTCTTCCCACAGTCAGAGCAAACATGTGGTCTCACACCAGTATGGATACGCTCATGCTCTTTTAAATTGTGCAGTCTTGTAAAACATTTTCCACAATAAGAACAAAAATTAGGCTTTACACCAGTATGAATTTTAAGATGTGTTTTTAAGCTTGATGCCAAAACGAATGTTTTATCACACTGATCACAGCTGAATGATCTCACACCAGAGTGAGAGCGCTGATGATTGTTGAGAAAGCTTTTAGATGTGAAACTCTTTCCACACTGAGTGCATGAGAACGTTTTTTCTCCTGAGTGAATTCTCATGTGCTCATTAAGGTTTCCTTTGCGGCTGAAACTCTTTCCACACTGAGTGCATGTGACCAGATTTTCTCCAGAATGAATTCTCATGTGCTCATTAAGGTTTCCTTTGCGACTGAAACTTTTTCCACACTGAGTGCATGTGACCAGATTTTCTCCAGAATGAATTCTCATGTGCTCATTAAGGTTTCCTTTGCGACTGAAACTTTTTCCACACTGAGTGCATGTGAACAGATTTTCTCCAGTGTGAATTCTCATGTGTCTCTTAAGGTCTAATTTTTGCATGTAAAACATTCCACACTTAGAGCAGGCGAATGATCCTTTGACTCCATTTTGTTTCTGAGTGAAATTCTCTTCAGTCTTTAAAACGACTGCATTTTCATCTTCATTTTTGAAATGAAGTTCTTGAAACAGATATTTGTCTTCATTTTCATATATCAGTTTCCCATCTTGATTTATGAAATTATGGTGTTTGTCTTCATTTACTTTCATGTCTAAAATCAACATTCAACAAATGAGAAACACAAAGAACAAAAGTTCATTTTTTTTTATCACAAATCCAGTCTACTTGTATATAGAATTAGATGTATTGAATGCTAGTTTTAATCTTAATGTCCCGCATCAGTCATTAAGGAGAATATAGGAAAACACCAACCTGTTTGTTCCTCTATATCTTCATATTTTATTCTGCAGGGTTCTTCCTCCATCCTTACAATATTACATCAGAAATTTCTCCAGGAGTAATTTCTTCTGCTTACTTCTCCTGTAGAAAGATGGAAATATTCCCGGCATTTAAACTCTCATGAATTGCTTCACTGACTGAAGGTGTGAATTGTGGTCATTGTTGCTCATTTAGCAGATACTCATGAAATATTCAGTCTGAAATGTTTGCTCAAATAGTCATATAGAAATCATTTTAACTAATATAGATATAGATGTTAATATAGATGTTGCTCTAAAACAATTTCAGGGCAGGGGAGAGGAGTTACAATGTATGAAGCTAACCTTACACAATGATTGCAAAATTTGTTTAATTTTTAAAATATTTTTATTTGTAGGATTAAAAAGTAGAACGAAATCTCATTTCGTGAAATTTATTATTAATTTGTATGTAATATTGTATTTCAAATTCTAAGTACTCATCTTGCTGGATCTGTCTGCTGCTTTTGACAGTTAACCACCAAAACCTCTTGTCAACGCTTATGACGAAGGGCATCTCAGGAACCACACACCAGGTTGTCACAGAGGGTTGAGTTGTCAACATTTATCTCCTGGGATGCCACAGGGCTCTGAACTTAGATCACTGAACTTTAGATTCTACATGTCATCACAATCTGTCATTTCTAAACATGTTTTTCCTATCACTGCTATGTTGATGAAACACAATTCTTGCCACTCAATCCAGCCAGATGATCCGATGGTAGCTACTCCCTGCCTTGCTGGATAAAGCAACACCGCCTTCAATGCAATCGTGCGAAGCTTGTGGTCACAGCCAACCCAACACTTCCTCACAACTTCCCCATTTAGCTATGTTCTTCAAACATAACTCCATCCAGGACAGCTGTGACACTTGAAGTTGTGATCGATGATCAGTTAAACTTCACAGGTAGGAATGGGACAGTATGAAAATTTTATATCACGACTATAGTGTCCAAAATTACTGTGATTATCAACATTATCACGATTTTGTTGAAATTAGATCTACAAAGAAGTGAATCGTTTAGGCGATTCATTACAAATCGTTTAGGTGATTCAGAGTCAATTTTTTCTGGAGACAATAACTTTATTTATCGTGCCCTTCCGACTTTACAACTTTGCAGACCATTTCAACATTCACAGACAGCTATATATATATATAAATACAAGGATTCTGACAACAGCCAATGCTCTACACGGAGGTCGGATCTCACCATCATCGAGTGCATCTGGAATTACAGGGGTTGGACAATGAAACTGAAACACTGGCCAATGTTGGAGGTTTCACATCTATATGCCTGGCGACCAATCTTCAGAGTGAAGCACGGGTGGATCAGTGATGGTTTGAGCTCCAATATCATGACAATCCTGATTGTATTTGATGGACACGACACTGCCGAGGACTACCAAACCCTTCTGGAGGATCAAACCCTTCATGAGCACCTGATGCCTTTTTTACTATTTATCAGCATGATCATGCACCAACAAACACAGCAAGACTTGTGACAGAAGGGTTTGATGAAGATGAAAGTGACGTTGAACATCTCCCATGGTCTGCACAGTCACCAGATCTGAATATTATTGAGGTGTTTTGGAGGAGCGAGTCCACCAGCATCATATAGTGACCTGGACACTGTTCTGGAAGAGGAACGGCTCATAATCCCTCTGGTCACTGTGAAGGACTTCTATCTGTCAATTGATGCCTCATGCAAAATGAGGCCCTCACCATTCTAACAAATTATTGTGTGGTAAAACCAGGTGTTTCAGTTTCATTGTCCAACCCCTGTATATGAAGAAACAGAAAAAACAGAGAAGAACTGCGGCAACTAGTGTTGTCAAAAAACTCGGTACTTCGGTACCAAGTCGGTACTAAAAAAAAAAAAAATGTTACGGTACCAGCTTTTCTAGGTACCGAATACCAGGTTCATCCAGTTCTAGACACGCTGTCTGAAAGGTGCACAGTCGCGTCCTCTTCATAACGCTGATATGGCTCTCTTTCTGAATCCACTTGTTGACACGAAAGGAGGAAAGAGCCACATATGGAAATATTTTGGATTAGGCTAATGTCACGTTGCCATAAGAGGCCGATTACATGCAAATTCGCAATTTCAAATATAGGCGCGAGGCAAGCGCGCTCATAATAAAAACTCGTTGCATAGCAACGACAGACGCCGCGTGAGAGCAAGCGCTTTGGAAAGAATAAGCACGCGATAAAATATAATAAAAAAACATGCGCGATATGTGAACGGCCTCTAAAGTGCTTTCGGGGTAGTTTTACGAGTACATGAGCACAGTAGTATCCAACCAACACCAGAGTACTATTAGTATCGATGCATCCCTATTTATGTCATTTAATGTCAGTGCCAGTTCTAGGCGTATTTTTGCCTTTATAACTCAGCAGGTTTAAAAAGCCTTTTTAAAATTAAATATGAATGCAGTTTTAGATTAAATAAAAGTACAGTCAAGTCAAATAAAACATGTTTTATCTCCTGTATAGTTTGGTAACACTACAATAAGATAGCTACCATTCATCAACATTACTTAGTTCACATCAACACATTGAGTGAACAATATATTTTTACAACATTAGTTAATGTTTGTAAATGTTAATTAATACAAACACTTGATTGTTCATGTTTGTTCACTTCATTCATTGTGCATTAAATAAATGTTAACAGATTAAAACTTTACAAACAACTTTAAAAATGTGTTAGTGTATACTATTGTTTATTTTAGGTCATTTTACCTTATCTTTTTCTAAAGTGTTTATAATACAAATGTACAGTTCCCATACTTGTAACCGTGATAAACACTTAAATATATGTAAATTTAAACTAAGCTTTGGTACCGAAATTGGTACAGAGAACCGTGAATTTTTAATGTTATTGGTACCGAATACTAAAATTTTGGTACCGTGACAACACTAGCGGCAACGTTTCCAAAGATGCTCGAAAAAAACTGCAAAACTAAAAACTATGTGCAATACTTGGACAAAAGCTCTTTTAAACATAAAGGGTACTAAACAACTATTGATTTGATTTAGTTAACTGTTAAAAGTTAATAACAGTTAATAATAGTTAACTAATAAAAGCAGTGTTTCCCCTACCATTGTTTTAGGGGGACGGCCCGCCCCTCCAAAATGACCCCCCGACCCCCTAAAATGCTGACGAAATCCAGTCATAAAAAGGATTTTACTGTATATTTTTGAGGAATAAATAGAAAGCGGTTCAGTACACTTGAAATAAAAATCGCGATATAGACTAGTGTGTGTGAATATTAAACCACAAATACTATTTAAATACGAATCCTGTTCGTATGACTCGTATGTTCCGTGTGAATGAAAAGTGCAGCCCAAAGCCATTAAATATGAATATGTTTTTCAACGGCTCTGGTGCAGCCGACGCGCAGTTCCCTTTTGTAGTCACTTCGAGTTACGTCAGAAGTGACGGAGATTGGGGGATTTCGCATGAAAGCCAATCCTCTTCGAGTATTTAACAACGAGCCAATGGCATGCAATGCCTTGGGGCTGCGGAATTTTGCATAGCGTACTCCGCCCTACTCCGTGAATATAAAAGGAGGAAGTGAACGCAACCGCAGTATGTTTTCGCTTCGGAGCCAAGAGAATTCTTCACTCCTCAAGCCATTCTCACTAATTCAAGACTCTTCGAGACGAGCATCCTCTTCAGTGTTGGTGTGATGGCGGTACCCAGCGAGACTCTGTATTGCCTGCGATCTGAGCAGTGGTCTGCCAGACTTTGCGCTTCTCCCTGGTCGCCTCAGCGCTGAAAGAGTGAATTTCCTCCTCTATAAGTGAAAGAGCTGCAAGCGGCACGTCTTTTTAAAGACGACTCGCCCGTGTTCTTCTGGGTGCGTTCGTTTCATGTCATTTTCTGATGGTCGCGATCGCTGCTCTGTGTGTGCCTGGGCTTCAGCATGCAGTAGCAGCGTTCGCGGATGACTCATGTTCCGTCTGAATGGGAACATGAGCATCTCTACACTGTGATCGAGACTCAATGATCTGATAGTGAGAGTCCCCGTGTCCGTTACTCGTTCTGTTTCTTAAAATAGAAGCTCTTCGACTCGCGGATAGGGTGATATGACGGTGAATGTGTGACACTCCTCCCGACGCTAGTTCCTCGGGTCACACCCACCGCTCCAGTGTTAGAGCCAGTGAGCGCTGTATCGCTTCAGACGTCTGCCTCTCTGAGGTACCGTCTGTTTCGTTCAGCGCTCCAGAGAATGATGCGATGACGATCGCAGCATCACAAGGCGGGCTTGACTCCTCGGGAAGTGAGGATGCGGCTGCGTTGCCTCCCTCGGGAGCGTCAGCGTCGCCGTGTCTGATCCCGCGATGATGGCCATGCTATCTCGGGCCTCCGTGAGCATCGGGTGGGGGTGGAACTCCGCCCTATCCCGATCTCTCGCGGATGGATAATTGGTTTTTCGGTAACGCTGCCGCCTTACGGCCACGGCCAACCCCAATTTCCTTTTTCCCCGAGTTGCATGCGGAACTGACACGCACTTAAAAAAAAAAAACGAGAGCGTGCTTCAGTTCCCCACCCTTCCTCCCCTCTGCGATGCGGCTGTCTGTGGGTACGCTGGGGCTCCCCCGGTGGAACGCTCTGTTGCGATGCAGCTGCGTCCGCAGGGCGCGTCCACCCGCGGTTGCTCTCAGATGCCCCTCCAAAGCCTATGGGTTCTCGTCGTCTATGGCGGCGCGATTCTGTAGAGCGGCGGGACAGGCAGCCTCCGCCCTGCATATGATGAGCACCTGCTAGCTGCTCAGGAATGTGCACGAGGAGAGAACGGACCAAGCGAGCTGCGAGCCTGCCGCCTACCTTGCCCTTAAACAGGTCACGGAAGCGGTCGCTCGCTCCCTTGGTCAGGTGATGCCCACCGCTGTGGTCCAGGAGTATCATCCAAATGTTCGGCGGTGCGGTCCAGGACTTTGCCCAGCACTTCTCGACCGCCTAGGAGCAGACGAAGTCTCTGTCTCTGAGGGTGCGGATGGGAGCGTGTGTCGTCCCCCGACTACACCACACCCCTCCCCCTCTATCGCCAGACCTC